CGTAGTGATAAAAAAAAATTGCTGAGTATTAGTCACGTTTTTTATCGTTTATTATCATTGGTAAATATACTTAACAGATATGGCAGAAATTTGAAATAAAAAAATTTCATTTTTATTTTATTAATTTCAAATTTACAATTTTTTTTTTAAAATGGAAAAAATTATTTATTACTTTTGTTATTGTTTACTATCCTCTATTAGGATATGTTTAACTTCTAACAAAAATGGTAAAAATGCAAAATTAAGGTAAAGTTTGTTGTATGTAATTTGTAGTTTTATAATGATAACCTTTAGCATAAGTTAGATTGTTATTTTACACATATTTAATAAATATTCATTCTTTAATTTATATGAATTACAGGCATAAATAAAGTTTATACTGAAATGTAGGTATAAAGTTTTAATACAGTATAAATATAGATAATTGTTTAATGTAAGAAAAAATTCTCACCTTTCTGTCTTTTTTTTTGACGTTCGGGTAACATTAGAAATGACAGGTAAACATTAGGAATATATTGTATGTGCTACATTTTCAACATATCGAATACAATAAACATTATAACACAGTGCGTTTTAATTGCTTTTCTACTTTTCCTGTTATATTTTTTTAAAGGATAAATGAATATTTTATATGTTTAGCAATACTTCAGCTATTGTAATTTTAAATGCTGAGAATAGATTATCCCATATTAATCAAATAATTAAGCAATGTTAAGATGTAACTTCTTTATTAAGTAGTATTTTAATTTTGATTATTTCAATCTTGAGTAAGCTATAGTTAGCTCTAAGATTGAAATTAAGAAATATGGTTAAGATTAATGATTGATGAAACAAGAATAAAGTTAAATGAATCTTACATTCTCTCTTAATGATTGAAATTATTTATAAGATTAATTTAATAAAATTTTTTTTCTTAACTATATTATAATCATTTGCTAAAAGAAAGAACAGCTTATAAGACGGACTTTTGTTCATGCTATTAATGGAAATTTTTTTTTTCAAGAAAAAAAAAATGTGGGAGTAAATCAATGATCGATGCTGAACTTCGAGAATTCCATTTTAAGATGCTTGACTTGCAGTACGTATTTGCTGGAGAATGGATTGTATTGAATTGTCCTAGCAATGACCATTGAGTAAAAATTACTAATCCATTTTAAACCGCGGACAAAAATTTAATAAACTTTAAAAGCAAACGTACGAAAATATCTGATAATGACAGTAACGTATTCGGCTGATGTTAGCACTGTTCGATTTGCCACTTTTGTCAAATTAATCTTCAGGTGTGTACTTTTTTTCTTCGTTTTCACAACAATAATTTATTTCATTTAATTCGTTTTTGTCTCTCTTCAAAATAAAAATATGCAATTTTTTCCTTAAATTTCCACATTTCTTTTCGCTTTCATTAACTTCCTCAAAAAAAGACAAGTATCATAGTTACAATATATACATATTTTTAAGCATTCATCAATACTATCCGTTAGTTTGACGGAAAATAAGAAATTGAATTCCAATAATTACCATTTTCGAAACATTCCAAAAATTTTATCACAATTACAACAAAAAATGTAATGTTAAATAAAGGTGATAGCATTGAAAAAGTGAGATTTGGTTGATTATTATTAATTTTTTTTTGTTATTATTTATTGCTATTATTGTTATTATCGTTGTTATTATTATTATTATGATTAATTATTATCACTTAACGATATTATAATGATGCTTTACAGATGGCGTGGTAGCATTTGGAAATCAATTATCAATGAACTTGTTGCATGGATGATTGCATATGCATGTCTTTCTATCCTATACAATTTTATACTAGCAGAAAATTACAAAAGGTTTAATTTTAGAAGTCAAACAACAAAATTGAATAATGAAATTTTTCCTCTCATAGCTAACACTCTTTTGTTACGAAAATGTTTACTTTTTGCCTTATGATAATACGTATGCGACATGCATTTCACATTCGATTCAAGCATTTTAATACAAAAAAAAAATGTAAACACGTCCTAACTTACCTCCAAAATGTAACATTTGGCTATAATTAATTTCAGCTGCATATTTAACATAAATTAAAAAAAAGAAACGAATAATTGTGATTATGTAAATGTTAAGTTTAATCATTCATCCAAGCTTATTCATTAAATTATGAAAAAGAAAAAAAGAACGAAAAACGGAAAATTGATAAGAATGATATAAATAAACAGAAATGAATCAAATGAACATATTTATATTTTGTTTTTATTTTTAAAATGTAAATTTTTGTAGAATCTTCGAGAAAATATGCCGTTTATTTGCAAAATATACCGATGTAATGCCATTAACATTTATGCTTGGCTTTTTTATCAATGTTGTTGTTAATAGATTTTGGAATTCATTGCACAATATCGGTTGGATTGACACGTAAGTTTAATCTTTCCTCTTTTGTTAATTATTTATGTTAAGTTGCAAAATGTGATTAATATTATTTTATAGATCAGCTTTGTATATATGCAAATATGTTACTGGTAACGATGATCATGCTCGATTATTACGAAGGAATTTAATCCGCTATTTACTTTTTTATCAGGTGGATGAAAAATTTATTTTTAACCTTTGAAAACATAAAAAATTTTCAAAATTTATAAAAATTTACGATTAAAAAAGAAAAAATTTGTATTATAACATAGTAATTAATAAAACTTACTATAATACACTTTTTTCATATTATGGTATCTTTTTTTAATTTATAATTTTTAAAATGTTGCAAATTGTTTTCAGCTGATAACACTTGGAATGCAGTAATTTATTTTAATTGATAACCTTTAAAATTCTACAACTGATCCTGCAGTAAATGAAAAATCACTTTTACCAGAAAAGATTTGAATTTCTTCCAAAAATTGCATAGCTCTCTTTACTTTAACAATAATTTTGCTATCGTAAATAATTTTAAAATTAAATATTAATATTTTCCTTTATTTTCTGTTTGCCCTACGCACTTTATTTCTTTTTTTTTTTGATTTTCTAATTTAATTTTTATCATACTTATGCAATTTGATGCATATTCTACAAATTTTAATCATTTTTTCAAGGTACTCATATATCGTGATATAAGCGAAGTGATACGTCGGAGATTTCCCTCATTGGAAACATTAGTAACAGCCGGTAGATTTGAAATTTTTCGCAATCCACTCGTAAAAGTTGCAAATTAATTTAATTAATTTTAATCATATGCAGTAAAATGTTGCATAATAATTTATAAATGGATGAAAAAGAGCGGTAGGTTAATCAACCATTCATAAATAACAAAATATTCATAAAATAATATTTCAAAACAAATTAAATGAACACTTACTAATTAAATACTTTTTCAATATGATTGAGAGCATCAAGTTTTTAATTAGTGGAACTAAATTAACTTCCGTAATTGTGTTCTTTTTTTTCAAAAAAAAGTGATATTTTTCTGTTGACTGAATTAAATTTCTATACAGTTTTGATAATGACAAAAAAAGTATTGAATCAATATGCATTAATAAATGAATAAATTATCAAATTTACAAACTAGCAACTTTCTGTCTTATTAAAATTCCATTTTTCTTTTTTTTTAGAATTATATTAAAATTACTATTATTATTATTATTATTTTGCGATTTTTAGGTTATATAACAGAAATTGAGCTAATGCAATTTAATGCAATTGATTCGAAAAATCGCAAATATTGGGTACCAATTCAGTGGGCGATGGGATTAGCGCAACGAGCACGACGAGAAAAGCGCATCGAAAGTCCACAAGGATTGCAAGATATTTTCGATGTAAAATTTATAAAAAAAAAAAATTATTTTCCAAGAAAAAAAACAATAGAAAAAATTAAATAAATTTTTGCCCTTAACAATTTTATTTTGAGTAAAATTGACAATTTAAGAAAATAAATATTTTTCGCATACAATTATCACAATTAATTATCAATGATTGGGTACCAATACCATTGGTTTATTCGCAAGTGATGTGTTTAACTGTTCGATTGTACTTCTTTCTTGCATTAATGGGACATCAAAATATTGCATTATCGCCTGATGCAAATTATGTCGATACGGTATGTCGTTTTCGTTTTTTGTTTCCTTTTAATAATTTAATAATTATTTCAAATAAAATATGAAATTTTTAATGTCAATTTAATTAGCGCCATCAACAAAAAGTAAGACATTACAATTTTAAATAAAACAAAATGAAATGCTATTAGTGTTAATCAAATTATAGCATAATTAATTGATTCATTTTAAAATATATGAAAATGAAATTAACGCTTCTGACGGAAAGATTTTTAAGAATACATTATGTTATTAAACAATTTAACAAAAAAGAAAATGCATGATTTATTTATTTTTATGACTTTAGGTTTTAATATTAACGAAACAATTAAGCATTTCTAATATTAAATCCTTATAATATATCACACATTAAAACTGTCAATTCGATTAATTTAAATTATTCATGGCAATAATTATTTGCATTACTGACATTATCTGAATAATTGGAATGAACTGTTACAAATCAAAAGTAAAATCAATTAATTAATTAATAACATAGTGTTGTTAAGATTAACACGCATGTACCATTCATATCAATGTGTCAGTTCATATTTTATATGGGTTGGATGAAAGTTGCCGAAGTTTTGATGAATCCATTTGGTGATGATGACGATGACCTGGAAATCAATTGGCTTATCGATCGTAATTTGCAAGTATGCTTTAATACATCTTCAAAACAATTGTTATTTTAAAATGAAAATTTAATTTAATATATTCAGCAAAATATAATACTAATTAAAATATGGATGATTTCTTTTTCTCATTTTAAATATTAAAATATGAATGTTTTTCGTTTTTCTCATTTTTATATTTGAATATTTTATGAACTTTTTTACAACAAAATTTTTGATCTCTTCAATTTTTTACAAAATTAACTTTTTGATTTTTTTAAAATAAATTTTTGATTTTCAAACTTTCCACTTTTTCTTAAAAAGAAAAATGATATTAATATTACATATCATGTTAGGTCGGTATGACAATAGTGGATCAAGCATGGGAACCGCCATTGATTAAGGATCAGTTCTGGATGCTGAAGACACCGGAACCAATGTATAGTGTTGATGCGGTCAATGAACGATACAATCCGCAAACCGGATCAGTTTCAAGCACCAATTGGTTATTTCAAATTTTTAAAACATTGATTACATTAATTTTAAATTTTGGACAAATTTTTTTTTTGCATTTATAGTCCTAATGATCTTATAATTGCTGAACAAAACAATTCCATTGTTTATTTTTTTGGCTTAGGAAATTTAAGTTTAAATAGCAAAATTCACGATGTAATGACTCTCACTTTTCAATTTTTGTCGGGACGTTTAAAACTCTATAATACTGAAGATTGTATACTCTATAATACTGTGATAATACTAAAGAATTTATTAATAATTTTAAGCCATAATATCAAAGAATTTATTAATAATTTTTTTTTATGCTTTTAATAACCATACTAAATCGTTGTCTCTCTACTAATTCATTAAAAGCTCTTTCACTTAGCAAGTGAAAAATTTCAAATTTTAGCCGAAGAACAAGTAAGCAAATGGTAATGAAAGATATGCTTTATCAAAATTCAGACAGTGATTTGCCAAGTAGTGAATATGATGGTGGAAGGTAATATTATCTGCAGATTATTTTAAGTAGCAACAATAATATGTATTAAAATTTTTAATGACTGAATATCTTTCCTAATATTTACTGTTTTTAAATTTTAATTACAAGCGAAATATTCAAACAATCAAAACCATCCACCATGGTTGAGATTTATGAAAGTCATAACAAAGGCCTAAGCTGTTTTTTATTGTGTAGACTAATAAAGTACTTTGTGTCATTTAAATTTTAGTTACATTACTAACTGCAACTGAATGTACTTTTTCTTGCAAAATGATTTGCAAAATTATTTAAATTTTCGAAAATAAACCTTTTATTTAATTATCATTATCGTTTTCATATTTGAAACGATTTTAGAAGAAATTCCACGTTAAGTACGACAGTAAGCGGAATTCGTGATGCATTCAAACGACGGTTTTCACGTCTTGCATCACGTGTAGAATCTGTAACTGATGCTGAATCTCCAGTATTTGATGAAAAATATATTAAAACAGGTTGCATTTTAAAAAATTGAAAATAATATTTCTAAAAGAAAATATTTACTAATTGATTTGATGATGGTAAGTAAAAAGTTCATTTGCAAATAAAAATTTAATTTAAATTATTTCACTTACTACAAAAATAACACTTTCTCTCGTCTAAGAAAGTTTTCGTTTAAATTAATTTTAGAAAATTATAATTCATCGTTACCATCGCTGCAACAGCAACAGCAACAAGAAAAAGTACATGAGCATCATGGACTGAGTATCCTTCATGAAGAGGATGAAAATCGAAAACAAAATTACGGATGTGATAGTATTTCCGGACAGTCACCATTAGTAAACGATCAAAGTGATAATAAAAAAAGACATTTGAAAAGGAAAGGACGCAAATTGCGGAAGAAAATGAGTGATGTCGAACATGAAAGTATGCAAAAGGAAGAGGAGAATAATTCAATAAATTCAAGAAAAAATAGTTATGATGGTGATGATGAGGTGAGTTATGTATAATTGATTATCTCATATCATATCTTATCATTTTTTTCTTCAAAATTAACATAATCTTATCATTAATTGCAATAGGAATAGTAAAGATAATGGCAAAACAATTTATAAGTATGTCATTTTCTAGAAAACTATTAACATATATTTGAATATGTCACTTTTTTAGGAAAATTTTAGTAATATGCTAAAGCATTACCATTTAGTATCAACAAATAATTGAATTAATTCTTTTCATATTTTTTCGAGTAACTGATCACATCGATTCTCATCCACTTACCATCCATTAGTAAAAAAAACCTATCACAATTGCCATTACCAACATTCAGTTGAGATCTTAAGAGTTTACATCCATAATTAATCAATCAAAATTTTCATTTCAAATTTACTCATAATTTTACTCATAATTAATCAAAATTTACTCATATTCAATCAATTAAAATTTTTTTTCGTTTTTTTTAGCAAGAAAGTCAAACTGAGAAGGAATCGCCAAGTTTGTCAGCTCAAGTATCAACAGAGGAAGTTATAGAAGTAGCTGAAGATTTTTTGTGAAACTATCACAGATAGTTGCAGTTATCAAATATCAATTGATAAGAATAGCGTATCTGATATTCCCACCATTGAAAATTCAAAATTCATGCGTTTCTAATTTTGCAAAGCAAATAATACAAGTTTATAGAATTTTCTAAGATGTATACACATGAATTTGAACTTTTGCAGTATCGTTTACTTTTGATTTCACGTGAAGAATCAAAAAGACGTGAAGTCATGCTAGATAACATTTTCTGAAAAGTTTAAGCAACTTTAGTATAAAATTTGCTTAAAGGATTATTTTTTAATGTCTATTTTTTGTAAAATATAAATGCATTGTTAACACATTGATTGTTAATTAAGCACTTAAAATGTTTTAATAACTTTTTTCTAAAATTTGATTTTTTAAAAAACTACGTTTTTCTCCAATTACAAACGTAAATGACCCTCTGTCAATATTCTGTCAGTGTACGATTTCGATTATTGTTTTTAACAGATCATAAAATTTGGAACTGCTAAAAATTTTCCGTAATCTTTTTTAACACCTATTAATTTGTTTAACTGTGAAGTTTAATACTTAAAATATTCCCAAATATATATGAAAGAATATTTATTAATACCGAAAATTCATAAAATTCTAGAAATCATTGATTATTTCTCATACAATAAATCATTTTCCGCATAATATCTGTGATATATGAAAATGATTAAATTGTGATGCTATACTGCGCATTTTCAATAAGTTCCTGAAATTTTGTATAAAAATTACGTTTGAAAATATTTTCAATCTTCAAAAAAGCAAAAATTTGATAAATCCAATACTATTATTATCATTGTACTTGTTATTATCATTATTTACCGCTATTAATAATCTACTGAAATTTGAACTAAATATTATTGCTAATCTTTAACCTTCATGAATTTATATAATGAAAATTAATGGTTTCATTATATAATGCTTTAATCTGAGAAATACGACATATCGAAAAATATATGGCACTATATAATACCAAAGATTGAAAAAAAAAAACATTGTAAAATTGCATTCACTAGAAAAAGGTTGAGAAATTTGGTTCATTTAATCATATTTCCAATCACATTCCATTATTTATGCCGAGATATTTATCATTTTAAATTTAGCATGTGCATCAGCTTACAAATGTTATCAACTTTGACAAATATCTGATACTTTTAAGTCAGTTGAAATTGTGCCATAGCATCCTCATTTTGTGCTTAGATTGATACGTTCGTGAAACATTTCTTCAAATTATAACTGCATAACTAATCGCATGCAAAAAATATTTCAAAATTTCTCTATCCAACTACTAACTGAACAAACCATTTTTAACATACAGTACCACAGGATCAATTTATATCATTAAAGTATACTTTCCTTTGCAAACTCCCATCCAACTGATATCAAATTTTATTTTTCAACAAATCCATGTAAATTTTCAAGGAAACCATCTTATAGTACAAAGTGATAAATACAATATCCAAGACAACAACAATAACAACCAACTACCACAAATTTCATTTAATTGTCGCGAAATTTCAAGAATATTATAAATGGTCAAAT